CCCCCCCAACCAAAAATTAGATTTTTTTCTTTTTTTTTTGCCTGATGGGGTGGGGCTGGGGTTGCGCCGCCACGTGGCGCTTCCCGATTCCTCAAACCCCCTCCCTCCCCAGCGGCCGCCACGCGTCCGCGAAGACGTGCCTTCACGCAGACGCGTCCGCGGGGTTGCGGACTCGGCCGCGTCTGTCCACTGCCGAGGGGGATTTATAGGTACAACCAAATGTTGAACCCGACACGAACCTCCGAATCGCGCTGTGCGTTGTGCATCCGATGCTCAGGGTCCAAGAAGGCTGCAACACAATGTAGCTCGTATGTCAGAAAAGCCCAGCGGCCCATGAGGATGCGCTTCACCGCCTTGTGCTCCTCCACCGATAAGGATTCCAGGGCATGCAGATTCTGCACAACCTGATCCATCTTGAAGTAAACCTTTGAGATGGTTGCTCCTTGCCCATCCACCAAACAGAGCAGCTCCACCACCGGCTGCATGACATCAAGCACCTTCTGCAAATTCCTCCAGAAGCCGCCCTTGTCAAGGACGATGGTGGTTACATCATGGAATGCCACCAACTGGTCATTCCGCACCATCTTGTCCACCCACCCCTTGTTGCACACACAGTGGTCAAGAGCTTTCCGCAATCCCTTGAGCGACTGCAACATCTCGAAGTTCGTTGCGAATCTGGTCACCGTCGGACGCTTCATCTTTGTCTTCGGGGAGTAATGGTGGAACGAAGCCCTTGCTTTGTCCACATTGGAGAAGAAACGACCGACCTTGTTGCCAGCATCGACCACCTGCGCCATCCAAGGCATTTCCTTGTACATATCCTCCAGCGCGAGGTCCAGCGCATGTACCGTACAACCGACGCTGAAGATGGTCGGATAGGCGGGATCCACCATCTTGCCTGCCTTCACGCACACCCTTGCGTTGTCCATGACTACACCAACGACCGCATCCGCTCCAATTTCCTTTATGACGTCGTCTAACACCCGAAAATAAGTTGCCGAATCCTTCTCCTTGCCCTCCACGCAGACAGACTTCCAGAACATTGTACCGACGGGCTAAGGCACCATGACATGCAAATGTGGTTTGTTACGGCAGTCCGACCAGCCGTCCATCTACAGCATAAATGACTGGTCACTAGTTGGCACATATAAAAAAACGGTCGAGGAATCGACTTGTACGCTCATTCATCGTGACCACACTGTCGGCCTCCACCGATCACTATCTGCCTTAGTGGCCTCCCCGAACTTGGCTTCGATCCAAGAGCGGTGCCCCCAGTGGTCTGAGGTGTGGCCGTCTCGCCAGTAATGTCTGCACCATCGGCCTGAGAGCTCGGAAACTCCAGTGCATGACTTGAAGCGGTCGGCATGTTGCTGGGCCCAGCACCTCCAGCCTCAATCTGCATCAACATGTGAGCAAGGCACTTCCCGTCCAACATTTCAGCTTCCCTCCTCACCCTCTCCTCCACTGACAACGGGACGATTACGTTGTCAAGGTTGCACATGTCCAAGAAGTGAACCCGGAGCCTCGTGGCAGTCCCGGCCAACCTCAAGTCGTAGTAGTTGCACCTCCAGTACTTAGATCCCTTTCCCACATTCTTCCCCCGTGTCCCCTTGATCGTGAAATGTTTCTTCAACTGCTCCTGGAGGTGCTTCAACATTCCTTCGTGACATGCTTGCCAGTGACCGTTGATGCCTTCAACATTCCCTGCACGACATCAATGACAACCATGACGAAGTGGCAGACATAGCGATTTCAACGATCTCATACACCCTCAATCTCCGTTCTGAGTGGAGGAGAGATGGTGGAGTACACATGGGGAAGGAGAGACGGAGGAAGAGAGGTGGGGGAGGAGAGGGGTGTGTGTATGTGTGTGTGTGTGTGTGTGTGTGTGTGTGTGT